TTTTTTTTTTTTTTTAAACTTTAGTTAAAGACTTTTATGCCTTTATCAATATATAGGGTATTACAATCTAGTCCCCGAACACACATGGACTCGATAATTCTTATGTTATATCATTCTGCACCCGGCCACACATTTGCTCGATAAATTCCTGTGTTATATCATTTCGTACCCAACCACACACGGGCTCGATAATATCTGGTATCATGTCATTTTGTACCCCATCACATATGGGCTCGGTAGCATCTCATGTTATGCTATTTCGTACCTGGCCAAACATGGGCTCGGTATTGTGCAATAAATATAGGTGTCTATCTAAATACAATACATGTTTAACTTTTCATAATTTCCAAAACTAAATTTAGAATAGATTGCACCTCATAGCTTTACGGGTACCATCCGAGAATATCCTTAATCTAAAGAAAATACTACTGGTAATAATGAACAAGAACATGAACAACTTTACCAAGGAAAGCTTAGGACAATGAAGTTTTACAATATGAGGATCATTCTGAAAGAAACACTTATATCAATCCATGCCAAGAAGGAAAGACTGCCTTACATAACTTTTTGATGAACTAGTTACACCTTCTGGGTTCTTATCCTTCTATAATGGAAAGCTTCACTTCTAAAGAATCTTCAAAATCAATGTAACAGTAGAACGTTTGATCCAGAAATGATTGCGAAATCTTTTCTCTAATCTTCCCACTATATTTGCCTTTGATCCTAGCCGTAAATCGTTTAGGGAACTTCTTAGAAACTTGAGAGCGTTTTTAGATGAATTAAAGTGGGTGACACTTCCTCGAATGAAAGAGAAAGAGATACACTATTCTTTTATACTAAACCAAGCATAGGAAATTCTCCCGCTCCCGTTTAATGAAAGCACGAAATCCCTTTTCCCCTACGTATCGCCAGCCAGTTGGCCCGGCTAGAAACCAAACTTATCAAATTCTAACTTTTACGTATGGGTTGTAACATCTTCTCTGAAAACAGAGGTGGCGGTAAATTTACATGGTGTTTATGAGCAACTTTAAAGTGGTTTATTATGTTTTACAGTAGTACGCTATTGTGACGCTTCTCTCTTTGTTACTGCTTAGAGTTTCTTCTTCCTCATCCTCTTAATTGTAAAATAAGTTTGTCAGATTTGTTGTTATTTGACAAATTGATGATTGGAGTTTGTTCCTTTATGATATTCGAAAGTTATGATTCAAGTTTGAACTCATTTGGAGTAGATTTGAGTGTTGAATCGTATGTTGGATTGTTAAAATTAGAAAAACAAGTTTCTGTTTCTGGGTAATTTGCACTTTAGACTAAAAAATCTTAAGTGCATATAAAAATTAGCTGCACTTCATTCCAATTAAGTCTTAAGTGCAATTTAAGTACATGCAAAAATTAGCCGCATTTCAGACTAAAACAATCTAAGAAGTGCTTTTAAGTTTGTAACTTCAAACACAAATTTTTCCAACGTCAGACTTACTAAGTCTGAAGTTAATCCTAAAACAGATAAACTTATAATTTTTTGTGCAATACGAATATAACTTCGATAGTAACCCCAAAACTGGGTATATATACAAATCCCCCTAAACTTCAGGCTATGAGTGAAAGGTACCCGAACTTTGAGTCCAAGGAAAAAAAAAATCCAAACGAAATTTCTAAGAACCAACATATCCTATTTTCCAACCATTTTCTTATTAAGCCTCAATTTCATCAACCCTTTATGAAATAAGGGGTAAAAATCCTATCATGTAAAGGTTGCCGCAAGTATAATTCAAGGAGGAATTCACAAGAAAAAGAGCAGAAACTTTGGGATCGACTGTCGCGTGATCCCAGATGATATCACAATAGTAAATACAATATAGTAATAGAATAATTAAAAAGAAAGTGAAACAAAACAAAAATTGAAGTTTCCTATTAACAAAAGGAAATAGTTTAGAAAATTCCATACCCCAAATAAACACTAAACTCCAACCCAACAATTTCTGAAACCTTTTCCATCTACATACTTTAGTTGTTAAAATATACATAGATTTTTTCTACAGCTCTAAAACCCTTCTCCCAATTCTTCAGTTTCTTCATAATTATCAGCCGCTGTAAATTACCCGTAAGTTAATCTTTCTTTCACTTTTTCCCCACTTCAGTTTTTCTGTAAAGTTATATTGTTTGCGCGTACCCCATATTATCTTTGTTTAATGATAATCCCTTTGAGGTTTTGCTTATTATTTCAACTTATTACAGCGTAATTCTTCATCTTTCCGTGGTTGTTTGGTCGCTGGTGATAATGTTCCAACAGTCTAGGTAAATTTACCATTGTTGTTTCTTCCGATCATCTAACACTTTTTTCTTGATAGAAATTAAAGTTGTGATCTTGCGACTGTTATGTTGACTTCTACTGTAATTTAGTAGTACATTAAGACCTCTAAGCTGATGATTTTTTGTTATTGACGTATGATTATGCTTTTTTCCTGGCTTTGATGCTTTGTGTTGCAGAATTTATTTATTTATTTTTGTGTTGCTGGAAGATAGAATCTTTGTTCATCTTTCTCTTTATTGTTCTTTTAAGAGCTGAATCATTTTAAATGCTCTGCTTTCTACTTTTGTTATTAATTTTTTTTCTTTTTTCAACTCAAATAGCCGAAAACTTGTAAGAACTTCATCTCTTAATAGTGTATGGTACGACAATCTCGTTATACCCCCTATCTGCTAAAGGTATTATAGCTTGGTTACTTATAGCTTGAAGGGGAGCCTTGTAGCAACGGTAAAGTTGTCTCCGTGTGACCACCTATAGGTCGCGGGTTCGAGCTATGGAAACAACCACTAATGCTTGTATTAGGGTAAGCTGTCTACATCACACCCAAGAGGTGCCGCCCTTCCCCAAACCATGCGTGAACACGGGATGCCTTGTCCACCAGGCTGCCCACTTATAGCGTGATAAGTCTGAAAAGTTTCCAGCTTCAGGTACCACCGGTAGTTGATATTCATTTGTCTTACGTTGCACTAAAAGATGTTATAGCTTTGCACTAGATTAATTTTTCTTAAGTTACACTAAATTTCGACCACAATTACTGAAAAGATGTTCAGTTGAAGAATCTTCAGATGTTATAGCTTTTAAAACTATGTCTGTGGCCTATACTTTTTGAAGATTTTTGAGGAAGCAAAAACCAGCTGCATTGGGGTACTTTGTTATGTGCTTGGCTTTCTAGATTTATGTCTTCCGAGTTATGTGAAAGAACATTAATCATGATGTTTATGCAGGTCATTGCTTTTGGCAGGTGATACTGTTTTTTGGATTAGGACATTGCCTTGTTTAAACGATTTTGAAGTGTGATCAGGATTTAGTGTTATAATCAACTCTTACATTACACCATGGAGAAAATCAGAAGCAAAAGTTGGATTGGAAACATATACCACAAGTTTGAGGCTGTGTGCCAGGAGGTAGATGGATTTGTAACCAAGGTATGTAAATGTGATCCGTTTTGACCATTAACTGCTTTCAGATGTATCATATACTTCGATATATATGCTTTCTCTCTTGTTGTTTTGTTTCCTTGGAATCTGCATGTTACTAGTAGTTTGTTGTGATGGACAGAACATTTGACCATATTATGAGTATTTTGGGGTTTTAATGTGGCTTAATTCTTAACTATTAGGACACAGTTAAATATGTTGAGAATCAGGTGCAAACTGTTGGTGCAAGCATGAAAAAGTTATACTCTGGTGTAGTGCAAGATTTTCATATCCCAATAGATGATCATATAAAAAGGGGAACACAAGCTGTCAATGGAAAGCAAAAGTACGATGTTGGTACTTATACTAGTTCAGTCGCAGGCACTACACAGAACCCTATCAAAGAACAATCATCTCTGGATCACGATGCTGATAGTTTCATCGAAAGCCAAAATGCTTCAACTTCAACTGAACTTGATGGTTTAATAGCTTCCGAAGAAGGAGAAATTGATTTTTCTGTAGGAAATGATAGAGCAGGTGCAACTTGTAAGAGCTCTTGTACGGTTTTTGAAAAGAATATGACAAGGGAGGAAGAACTGGTAGATGAGGAATCAAGTACTTCGGTAGCCACAATTTCATCTGAATCCTGTTCTGACAAAGATTCCAAAGATACCAAGAGCGGTAGCTTTTCAGATGATGATAACTGTTTTTCTGATGTATCAAGCTCTCAGATGATTATACTACAAGATGATATCGTTAGGGAGGAACAACCACTGGCTGAGGGATCAAGTTCATTTCTGGATAATTTGTCTAAATCACAATCCAGTGCCTCTGAGAAGAATGAGAAAATGTTTGATAGCTCTCCTGATGCTATTAACTGTATTTCAACTGCACCAAGTAGTCAGATTGTTTTGCAACGGAACATCACTGGTGCGGTTCAACCAATCACTGCTCAATCAAATTCTTTTGGAGATATTGCTTTATCCAAGTCATTACCATCTTTAATAGAGGAAAGTCATGGAAATTCCATCACGGCTAAGTTCCCAAATCCAACTTCATTTTTTGATACAGAACTTGGAACCTTCCCAGAGGATGAGAGAGGATGCAACAGGTTTTTTGATGCTGCTGAGAGCATTTCCAATGTTTCAATGACTCATACGATATTGCAAGACAATATCACCAGTGAGGATCAACTTGCACCCAAGAAATCAAGTTCTATTAGAGATAAAAGTTTGCCACAAACCCCAGCATTTACATCTGATATACCTCCAACTTCACTTAGTGATGCAGGATTTGGGGTGTCCATGCCCGTCTGTAAAAGCTTCTTGGACAATGTTACTTGTGTTTCTGATAAGTCAAGTAAGGGGGCATTTGAAGACGCTCCAAATACATTCCAGTCATCTGAACTTGTACTTTCTCGAGTTCTTGTTGAGAATGAAAGCGTGGATGTAGACACCGGAGTATCAGACTCTTCCCCGTTAACAGAATCTTCTAGCCTGTCAAGTGGAAACTGTTCACTGGAAGCAGAGTCCAATTGTAGTATCTCCACTGGCCTCTCATCTTCCTTGTCAACTCCTTTAGCGAGTGCAAACAATGTTGTTGCTGTCATTCCAGCTCTCTCAAGCGCTGCTGCATCGTTGATGGGTTTCAGTGGTAAGTGGATTCCTCTTTGAACCCTCTGGTGGAGTAGTCAAAAATAAATACTGTCCAGTTTTTAGTTGTCTCTGTTTCTACTTCCTCTTCTTTCTGTGGTATCTACTGCTTCAAAAGATTTCTCCTTCTGCAGATGTAAACATTTCGAGTTCTCACGAGTCAGTTGGGGATTCTGGTTCAATAAGAAATAACCTTGAGTGGTATCCAAGCTCTCAGTTGAAGGCTCTTATGTGTCCCGCAGAAATAGGTACAACATGGAACAACATTGTTTGTCTTTCCTTCCTTTGAAATTTCATGTGTTTCTAACAAACTCGCAATTAAACTATGGGAATACAGCCGAGATGATGATGCATGTATGAAAATAAAGAGAATAATGAGAAATGAATGCAAACTCAGATCCCTGCTGCACTACATGCTTATTACGTAGTACTCATTGTCCTTGAGTAATGCAAAGATGCTATAACATAGTGTATCATTTTTTTCGGAAGGAGAGCTCAAAAAAAAAAATGAAAAAGGAAATTTGAGGGCGAAGGGATGATATTGACTAGCATCCACTATAAACTTATGGAAGAATAAAATGGTTGCTCTTTATAAAATATTAACCATATGATTTCTCGGTGCTATTTTCCTTGTTTGGAAAAATCGTACTAGTTGATTGCTATTTACTTTATCCTGTTATATCCTCATCATTTCATGGAACACGCGGCAGCAATTTAGATCAATCTTGGAACCAGCAAAATCAGCATGAATAGGTTCCATCTGTTTCACGGAGGTGTATAAAAACTACTTATTTTTTTTGAAATATAAGGGTGAGGATTGAAACAAGGTTTGGAAAATTCTTGGTTGAGAGCAAATAGCTTCGAAGCTACAGATGTCATGGCCATATATACTCATCGTTCAGAGTGATGCGTTGCTTCTCAGACCTGGGCATTCATATTCGTGTCTTTTGATGCTTTTTGCAGGATGCTTGAATGATTGCTGCATTGATCTTCCTGGGATGGAAACGATTGATCTAACTGATAAGGGAAAGCTCGAGGAAAGTTGTGTCCTTGTGGACAATAAATTACAAAGAACTGTTTCGTTTAGGCCAAGGAAATATAAGTCGTACAAGGTAGCCTCTCTATTTATAAGCTTCCCTTCTACTTTAAAGCCTGAACTCCATTGACGTTCAGTTTTTGTCTCTGCTATACGACAGGAACTAATACAGGAGGCATTTGCTTCTAGGAAGAGCCTGATAAAGGAATACAAGCAATTGGCTGTTTTATATGCAGACGTCGATGCAGAAACTAGCCAGCGCACTGAGTTGCCTTCTCTTCCTTCACCATGTTTACGCTCAACAGAATCGTCCATCTGTGAATCTGGGTGGGAGCTTCTATAAATAAGCATTTTTTCTGTGCAAACTTTCCCATGTTAATGATTTTTACTGGGAATTTTCTCTTTACAAAGGTTCCATAAAATGGTTAGCGGTCGAGCTAATCATTAGTCTTATTTGTGAGATAAATGATGGAAACTACATCTTTCATTTTTCCTTTTCACTTAATTCGCCGATTACTCTGTTCAAACTCTGATCTCAAAGTATGATTTGAAGTTAAAATCGAAGAGGGAGATCCGGAATCAATAAGACAGGTAATTCTCCACAATTGTGTATATCACCAAATATACATGTATGTATAGTTGTATACCCTATTATATACCGTGATATACCGGATGTGTGATATACAGTGATATCACGATATACATTATCAGAATGGATGATTTTGAGTCTCGAAATTTCCGAATAAGGCATCTATAAATGTTTTATACACTGAGATTGTAAATTAGGAAAATATAATTTTGATGTACATTTTGATATACACAAAAGAGTTGTAATATACGATTTAATGTACACATTGTGTTATACACTGTGATATACAAATAATATAATTATATTTGTATTATACACTTGTATATACAGACAAGAATAAATTATAGACAACAATTATTTATATTTTAGACCTCTCTAAACTTGATATACATAGTGGGAAATCAAAATAACCAGAAAAAGAAAATAGAGAGATTTGGGAGAAAATATTGAGAGATTTTCGGATACTACTTGAAAGGAAATGGAAGCTTATTTTTAGGATGATGGCTACCATTAGAAAGAGAAAATGCTAAATGTCTTTTGCTATTTTTTAAGGAAAACGAATTGATATTTGGATGTCAATTCTTTTTAGGTAAATAGTTAACTTTGGACTACGAGTATTAAATCTATATCTATCTATATTTATATTTATGGCCAAATACATAAGTGGACCCTTAAACTTGGCCCTTTTTATTTTATTTTATTTTATTTTATTTAGACACTTAAACTAAACTTTGTTCCTATTGAACACTTGTACCATCTAAAATATGTGTCAATTAGACACACCTTTTTCAGTTTTCGTAAATAGCCTACGCGTATTATCAAACGCCTTTACATGACAAACTAGACGAATTATTTCGTGACACGTGGAATTTAAAGAAAACCTTTTTCTTTAACAATTTGTTTTTAATTCCCACCCCAGCCCACCCCTTCTTCTTGCCACTACCCACGTCCCCGATTTTTTCACCTCTTGTTCTTCTTCTTTTCTCCCCATTCCCTATTCTTCTTCTTTTTCAGTTGGACCCATGAGATGGATTAAATGTTCAACCATATTCGTGTTGCCTGCAAATTTTACTATTTATGCAATAGTTTCGATTTCGCATGACAGAACTAAAGTTTGGGTTTACCATTTGGAGGGCATTTAACACATGGGTATTATACATATATGGGCATTAAAGAGATATTTCTCACGCATGAAGTTTCTGTGTTGTAACTGGGAAACTTCAGCTCTAGAGCAGTTTCTATCTAGCTACAATTTCCTCTTCTTTTTATGGTTAATTATCGTGGCTGCAAGTCTGGTCGAAAGTTTCACAATATTCCGAAGGAAAACTAACCAACTTTTTATGGTTAATTATCGTGGCTGCAAGTCATGTCTTGCATTGCCACAACGTAAATAGGACTGAAGTTTTCATGTGATTATGAGTTTATCCACAGTTAGTGGCTGCTCAAGTATCTGATATTTTCAAGTTTGACAATACGCACCAGTTATCGAAATCAAAGGAAGCAATGGAACTGGATTTGCATTCACGGCTGGTATCAGGTTTTGGCAAAGAAGAAGAAAGAAGAAAAGGAGGAGGAGGCTGAAATTATTTAAAAACTGGGTACAAATTAAAAGTTTTAAAAAAAATGGATATAAGTTAAATGAGAAATGTGGGCGACCAAATAGAGCGCCCCGTGCAATTTTTACCAAATTGGCAATACTTACCCAAGAGATTGGGATTAGAGAAAGGTTTAGAAAAGTTATTGATGAATGTAAATTGTACTCTTATGTTTGTGATATATGGCTCATTAATAGTGGCCTTGATACTGCTCAGCTAATTTTTGATGTCCTTTGTTCTAAAATTTTTGATAACAAGCTTTTTAAGTTGCTGCAAAAAAAATTCATTCCTTGTTTTTGTTCTTGACAAAATCAAGTCTTTGAAGAATATAGTGGATTATTTCAGTTGAAGAACATGGTAGATTAATGGCGGAAGGTAGAGGATGGTAGGGAGAGAGAATGAGTAAGTAAGAGAAAGAGGGCATCACGCGCTCATACACAACGTAGCACACACACCTTGACATGTTAGCAATGTGTGTCTAATAGTTACACTTCGACTTGAGTTAAAGTGTTCAATAGGAACAAAGTTTAGTTCAAGTGTCTAAATAAAAAAAAGGGCCAAGTTTAGTTCAAGTGCTTTTATATTATTATAAAAGCACGAATAATTTATGTTAAATATTGAACGACTAAAATATCCTCAAAATATTGATAGACTTTTATAACCTTAAGTATTTATATAACTTGAGGATGCAATTGTAAATCACCTAAGGTAGAAATTCTTTTTCATTTAAACTACACTTGACAAGCCTACAAAGTAGATTTTGGGTCAAACTAACTTGGAATTTATTTGAATAAGTGCTTCAACGTGGATATTGAGCACAATTATGGAAGAATAAGAAAAATTGAACATAAATTGAGAATTCACTATTGTGACCACCTTGAGAATATTCTGCTCATGAATATTCAAGTGTTGCTGCTACCCTTTTTCAAAAAATTGTTATTAAATTTTATACATTGTGAGTAACAATTTAGAATATTTATTCAACTGAAATTTTATAACTTTCGATACGCATTTCGTAATATTTCACCCCAATATTCTAAACTATTTTACCTCTTCACTTGAATTTTCTTTTATGTCAGGGAAATTTAATAACTTATACATAATCTATATATATATATATTAAAGCTATAAAGTTGCCATAAATAATTGATTATGTAATTAAGCCAAGTGGCAAACTAATAAATGTCAATAGTATATGATAACTTTATTCTATATTTGAATATGTTAGTCAAATATATATATAATTTCAATATAAATTTTTAAAATTTGAATTAAAATAAAAAAAATATCTTTTATTACCATGTTATCATACTTAATTCGGTTAGTGATCATATGCAATTATATTAGGAACTTTTGTTATCTTAATTCAAATTATGTAAATACTACTTCGCCTCTGGCAAAAATAAATAAATAATACTCCATATAACTATAAACTCTTTTATATTTAAAATCCTATAATTATAATTCTTTAAAACACTATAGCTAGATTTGAATAAAGCGAATTTCTTTTAAAATAAATATAATATATAAGGTACACGCCTATGTTTATAACAAAAAAAAAAGTTTAAAAGTTGATAAAAATTCACTTGCATATATAATGAAGTAAACCTACATGCTGGAGAAAGAAACATTACAAAAATCAATCAATATTCAACATAAGTTGTTTTTTGTCTTTTTGAAAATGTTTGCTTGAAGAGTCAATTTATATAAATGGTCATCAAACAAATAACAAAACTTTGACTATAATTGATTAATTTCTATTTAACACCTTCTAGGAATTGAAGGATATAAGCCGAAACCTCTTCATTTAGCTGCAGTCAAACCAACATTGCAAGGGTGTAGTATTTTTTTCATTGAAAAATATTAATTTTGAATCATTAGATTATGTGAAAGATTTTTTTCTCGAATTCAAAAAGAGTGATATTGATTTCTAATTGATAGTTTCTATAGCGATTTTCAAGTGTAACGAAAAGTATATTTAAAAAAACTTGGTATGACGTGAAATAGTTATTTTTAAAATGTAAACAAATTATTTCAAAATGAGATTATTTTTTAAATTATAATGTAATTTTTAAAATAAAAGATAAGATATTTTTAAATTTTAGTAAAGATTTTTTAAAATAATTATAATAAAAGTCATATCATGGATAAAATCAAGAAACCAAAATCCTATGGATTATTACATAAATATCCGGCCAGATTTATTATTTACTTTTTATAGCTAATATACATAGATGATATACCTATTATACACGATTTCACATGTTACATATGAATTATAAATAAATTACACATCCTCAATTTTTTAATTTAAGTGGTTAGGTGAGCTCCTATTTAGGTTGATAAGATAAAGCCAAAAGAAAAATATGACAAAATTTCAACCAAAGATTAAAAATATAAATAGAGTTCTTATGTAGACAATTTCTATTAAAACTCGTCATTTTATTACAAAATAACTTAATTTTGTGTAACAAAAGAAAAAAAAATATAAAAAAATAGGATAAAAGAAAATAAATATAGAAAAAATGTATGAAAAATCTAAAAAACTAGAAATAAGAGACGACAACTAATTTCTTCTTCTGTTTCATCTTTGTTGAGTGTAAAAAATTTGGAAGATGATCTCATCGATTTCAAATATTTTTTTCAACTCAAATACATAGATTATAAGATAAGGATATCTTAGAATATTTTTTTTATTTACATTGTGTGTCATTTTTAAAAAAATTGCTATTGCTAACAAAGTGATATGATATTCAAATTTGAATTTAATTATAATTTAAGTAGTTTGCATTGAGGTTAAGCCAAGCATGGTGAAAAAATTGCTTAGCAATTTTAAGATAATATATACAATATTATATAATAACAATCAATTAATCTAACATTTAATGATTCAAAGAACAAGAAATCTGTATATGTATAGGGTATTCAAAATTTAAAATTTGTGGCTAGAGATATCGATAAACTCAAAATGAGGTCATACTGAGAATCATTTAAATTTTTAGCTAGCTGATTAAAGTGAATTTTAAATTAAGGATAATATCTTCACTTGCACCATTATAAAAATAATTATTTTATTAAAATATATATAATGTTGTAGAAATTAAAATTTTAAAATAGAAATATTTTTTTTAAACATAATAGCATACCAAATAAGAATTTAAGTAGTAGTAAAAGAGTCACGTCGTAACCAAAGAATCGTTCATATTGTGCCAACCTTTGTGCTTTTCCAGAGCTCATAAATACGAGTTATTATTTCGTGACTATTTTTAGGTTCCAATGACACCAATAAGAATGGTGCAAAAGTAAAATTATCACTATGAGATTTGAGAAAATGTTAGCCTTTTTTCATGTAGTGTTTCATAAACAATATCTAACGATTATCTGTAATTATGTAGAACGTTTAAATTTTAAGGTTATT